ACCTACGAATATAAGACTGATCAACTATTACAATTTTAGTAAATATCAAACATCTTTAAAGTTAAAAATAAATTAAAGAAAAGATTAAATACAACTTATTCAACCTTTATACCTTATTTATTAAAAAAACATTTTCCAAAATACTCCCCTCGCCTCACATTAGTATTGACTTACGTTGTTCAAGGATACACAAATTATAATCCATGAATAGCACTGATAGTTCAAATTACGCTTTCCGAAGAAAAGTATAAACGACCATTGTCAAATAAAGGACCTAACTTGTAGGTTGGGGTTGCCCCCACGAGAAATATAGTTCGGACTTAAACTTAACTCACAACTATTTCTTTTTAGTCAAACTATCTACGAGAAAAGTAAACAGGGGGATTTTGTAAATAAAATAACAAATTGTTGATTTGAATGATTAAGTAACAAGTAAATAAGATTCACACTTTGAGATATCAATATGAGATGAAAATTGGGGTAGATGTGTTCCCCACAAGCTCTTAATGCATTAATCCTAAAAATAGTAATTTTATCCCAATGTTTGACATGCAAGGCAGATAAGTTATGTATCCCTAAGTGATTAGTAATCCAAGTAGGAACTTTCACTCGCAACTTGGTAAGTCTGCTGGTGTGTGTTTTACTAAGCCTTACCTTTACCCCAAATTAGACATGGTGTCAATTAAGTTGGGTATTTCACCTCACTTCCACAGATTAAATTCATACAATTAGATAGCAAAAAATTCTTAACTAAATCTCTGTTGTTTAATTTTTTTCTCATTCCTTACTCTCCTTGTAAAATAAGTAGGAATGACACGATTTCTAACGTTGCGCACCACTAGAAGGACTTATACACAAAAAAATTAACAACATATACATAAAAACTATTCAAAAATTACTTAATTATTATTCATACATTGTTATTTGCTCATGGCTTCCACAACCCTTGTTGTGAATTTAGCTACTCATGCTTGAGGATTCACAATTCATAGTTAGGTTAAAAGAAATCACGACCTTACAATTAGAATAGATGAAAACCAAAATCTTGAATTGAAATCAAAGTGAAGTTACATAAAACCAACTTTCGAAAATTAATTGCTAAGAGTTTACAAAACAATTCCAAAAGACCAAAACAAAAGTCTTGAATAGTGTCTAACTCCCAAAAAAGGAAATAACAACTATATTTATAGTGTTCAAATCCTAAACCAACTAGGACATGAAAATAAAGAAACTTGGGTCAAATGCGGCTTTGACTGAAATATTGACCTAGACCATGGGTCGACCTACGATTCGCGGATCCTCTTTGTGGTTCAGGTACTAGAACTCAATCGTTTTGATCATCTCGACGGATGTGCAGGACTGTTCGTCATTGGCTTCCGTGGTTCCACACATGGTCATACTTCCCTGAATTTCACCTACACTACATCACCTATGGACCATCGTTGGACCTACAGTCTGCGTTGGCTTCGTCAGGTGCTGCTACTCTTTTCAATCTATTTTTCTGTCAACCCCCTACCGAACCAATTTCCTACAAATGATTACATAAAAACATTATATCTATTAACAAAATAGCCCAAGCCACATACAAACAAACTTTAAGTGAAATGTATCAAAAAATACCGCATACTTTACGTTCCGTCGTTGTCTTCTTCAGTTGCTGCTTCTATTTTCAATTCATTTTTCTGTCAATCGCTACCGAACCACTTTTTTACAAAAGATTACATAAAAACATTATATATAAAAACAAAATATCCCAGGACACACATAAACTCTAAGGGGTTGTTTAGTTATATGTAGGTTGAAAAAGAGTACCGAACAAGGTACTAGTAATACACAAGGCTAATGCATGCATTATTTTTTAAATACACTATACGAAATGACCCTTAATTAAAATGCATCAAAAATACCGTAGTATATCAAGCACTTCTTTTTAATTGACTCACTAATTTCTTCCAAGATTTTGTGACTTTTGGTAATTTGGATCGCTGCCATCTAATACAATATAATTCATTCAGAAATAATAATCAATTTGATATTTAATTATTGTCACGATCCATGTATAAACCCTAAGTGAGACCACACTTAAAATCACGAATGACCCTAAACAGAATTGCGGTACAACATTCTACTAATTAACTAATCTCACATTTTATGAAATAAGAGAGGAAGATGAAATTTATTTAACTAAAGCATATACTTAATATGAGTTTGAGATGAATATCAAAACATTCATGAGATTGAACAATTTATATCTGAATATAAGTCTCTACAAATTGGAATGAAAAAAAGATTTTGCTGGGATATAGCCCCAAATACCTTAAGATAAATATTATCTCTTATGAAATGTCTAAAAATACTTTATAACGTCCCCGGATGAGGAGGACTCACCAACTGCTGACTGGAATACTACATCCTGTCTAGCCACAGGTTCGAGAGAGAATGTCTGAGTCTACATCATGAAAGGATGCAACGCAGAGAAAAATATGTGATCAACACCACACACTGAATATGTAAGATGGAACCAGACACAATCATAAAGTAATATAGTATTAATGAAACATATCTCAAAACTAATGTATGAATGTCATATCTTAGAAGATCTTAACAATGGTACAAGTGCATAAAACTATTAGTATCTTTATTTGAGAGTTTCTTATAATCGACAAACACCATGAGGGATAATAATGTCCAACTTATGATTTTCGTTTGGTGGGCTGCCGTACACCTTGCTTGGATGTGGAACCTGTCTGTGTGGATCCACTAACTAAGCCTCAAAGAGCTATAAGAGTTGACTGTCTAAGCGACGTGCTCAAATCTTAAGGTGGCATGTAGTTACAAGACTTTGATTTTCTTAACTTGTGTCCTCTGGATCCTAAATAATCCTCCCAAAATAATATACTGATACGATATGCTCATAATTTTAACTATCTGTTTGTCTGATTAAATGTGGAGACATAGCTCAAACTTTCTAAAATATATCTTTCAAAATCATACTTGTAACTTAAAGCATGAGAAAGTCTCCTAAAACTTACATAGCTCATAAATATTCAAAAATAGTTTCTATAATATCATAAGACTCTAAAACCTTATGTTGAAATATAAGCTTAATGAAATCATAACAATATCATGTCAATGACTCATAAGAATGACAATGAAAGAACTTAAAAGTATAAAAAAAAAAGAGTATTATAAACAAGAATCTATAATCATGAATAAAAAATACACGAAATCATACAATTTGGTCATAAATGTGATGAATTTGAAACTGATTTGATAACCCTAACTAAAATTAAGTTCAAGAAGATTGCTAATTTGGACACGAGGATGCAAATATTTCCTCACTAAAGTCTTACATACCTTAGTAGGGAAGATTGATGGAGAATCTTGAAATATGAATCCTAGCCTTGATGTTTTTTGAAGTTCTTGAGTGTAGAATTGTCAGGCTTCAAGCCTACAATGCGAAGAACATTTGATAACCATAGCTGGCCCCGAGAGAATCATTAGGTTAACTCAACTCTTAGAGGACGACTTACTTATTATAGAATAATCTCAAAATATAAAATCAAATAATAAACTCATAATATAATAGAATATTCAACTAGCCAGAATAGGCAACTCAAGTCTAGAAAATTAACATTTGAAAATGAATTGACTCATGAACTACTGTCTATCTATATATGAAGCATATAATACTATGAGGAATGTCGTGATATGACCCTTGATCATTCTAACAAAACTGAAATACTGGAAATAAATAGGGGATCCACTGGAAGCAATGAGGCTCACCAAACAATTCTAGAACTCGACTGGATCAATATAGAGCTGGTTGATGATCCCGGTTACCTATTTTTTACATCATAAAATGATGCAGGATAAATAGTATCAGTACATGATGTATGCGAATGTAAGGGGAATACTAAACATAACCATAACGTTTGAACTGATAAGAAGGAAACATACTCACCTCGACTCTACTAAACTCAACCTCAACTCATGGATACTCAACTCAATGCAATATAAGTCGACAATAAAAATACAATATTAACTCAATTTATATGTAAATATACAAAATAACACTGTTTGAGAGATTCTCTAAACGACAACCATCACTATGAGGTATGTGATGATACTTCTCACCCACGCTGCCGAAACTGTCCTATACCTTGTCGGGGTATAGAACTTGTCAGCTAAGTATATCCACTAATCTATGCTTAAAAAACAACAAGGAATCTTTTTAAAAGTACAACTCTTTATACCCACGTTGGCTACATGATTTATGGGGCTTGTGAGTTGTTTGAAATCTCCTCCATATCTGTGCTCAATACTACTCCCAAAATATAGATTAGATCATATAACATTTTTTGCACTACACCATTTTCGGCCTACAGCAACACCACGTAAGTGTAGCCTAAACTAGCAAAAAGTGTGGCCTTTGATAAAAGGCTACACTTTTGGACATTTAGCAACACTTTTAGGGGCTGCCCAAAAGAAGCGTAACCTTTGACATTAGGCAACACTTCTTAAATGTTGCCATCTTTGGCTACACTTATAAAGCATAGCCAAATAGGTAAAAAGGCACGCTTTGAGGACGTGCATTAGCAACACCTATTTTTTGTTAGACTACACTTAAAAGCGTTGCCTTTTCAGATTTATTGGTCACACTTAAAAAGTGTTGCCTTTTATTGGTCATCTATTGCAACACTTTCAAAGTGTTACTTTTTTATCTACCTAGAGCAACACTTACAAAGTGTAACTTCAACATTTATAAGGCCTACATGTAGCACAAATATATATAATATATTTACATACATACAAGTGACCTAAAACACAAAATGAACTAATTAATCATTAAATTGAAGCTATATATTTCAAATAAACTTCGAGAAATATTTCATGTACAACCAAAAGATAGTATGTGTTGTGTACATACCCATACTTATACATCAATATTCTAAATGTGTACACAATAAATCAAATATGTATTTAAACTTTTACAATAGTTCAAAAGCTCTTCATCATCCACTTCAAATTTGATCACCTCCATTTCCCTACACAAATAAGATATTGGCAGTTATATAGAAGAGGTAAGAAGTTCAGATTGCAACAATATAGAGAGGCAAGAAATCCAGCAGTTACAGAAAATTAGATTGCATCTTTTGATTTTCAAACAAGCAAGATGAATAGTGGTCAAGAGAAACAAAACCTTAGCTCAATTCAAACCAAAGCCACTAACAATAAATTACCAATGATGAAATAGCAAAAACAATATATAGGTCAATAAGCAAGATCAAAGATCTGTTATACATACCCTGTGCAAATACGTTTCTGAGTTCTTAGGAAAATCAGAATTGATAACAACGTTAACTGCTTGAATATCAATTCCTCTAGTAAACAAATCTGTTCAATCAAGAAAGAACACAAAATTAAGAAATTTAACAATTAATCAATTTGAAATTTCAGTTGTAACGGAAAGCATGACGGACCGTCGTAGCCATGACGGTCCGTCCTGCATGTTTGTCATGAAGATCAGAGAAGTAGCAGAAGAAACTTGCAAGTGTGGGACGACGGAGTCCACAACGGCCCGTCATGACCACGACGGATGACCACGACGGCCTGTCATGACCACGACGGCCCATCATGACCACGACGGCCTGTCATGACCATGACGGCCCGTCATGACCACGACGGCCTCTCATGACTACGACAGCCCGTCGCGAGGTCCACGGCGACCCGTCGCGAGGTACACTATGGCTTGTCGTGACCACGACGTCTTGTCGCAAGGTCCGTCGCCCCATCCGCATTTTGACAGATTTACAGCAAATAGAGTTACTATCTATACTTATGGCCAAAACGACTGATGAAATTTGTAAATTTGTAAGTCTATGTTTGTACTTACTTGATGAAATCAGTTCTTCAGCTTCCGTCCTTCAGCTCTTCGAATGAGGTCTGCGGATACAACAAATACACAATGTAATCACACAAGTGAAGGATAGAGTTAATATGCACCGGAAACAATGAGGAAAACAACATTACCTTTCTTCAGGTAGTGAACTGGAACGGGACGAGCAGGGAAACGATCTTTACCAAGAAACTTGAACACTAACAACGGATGAGAATTCTGGGCAGAATCACGAACTCGAACAAAGATTGGGAAAACTGATACGCGAAACGAATTAGAAAATGTGATACTCTTATCGCTACTTGACTCTCTCTGCCTTGAATATGTTTCTCTATATATATATTTTAACTATTTTCTTTAGCTGCTCTAAATGTTTTTGCTCAAATAAATCAAACTTTTTTCCATCCCTAACAGTGAAAATAGAGGTTTATATATGGAGGCTAAAATACGAGCTACACTCCCAAAAATCAACTTATGAAGCTAAAATACAAGTCACACTCCCAAAAATCGTATAAAAACACAAGAATATCAAAACAATAAAGCTAAAATTTAGACTTTCAGAATGAAATTTCTTACATGATAAAGCCTACTCCAACAAAATCTGTTTGAAATTGTGTTCTTCAGTGAGAAACTTGAGAGAAAAGTGTGACAGAGAGACTAATTAGCTTCAATTCATCATCTTGCCAACAACCCAAAAATATTCATTCCTTTTGAACACAAAACAAAAAAGCAAACACTTCAGCTAACAAGAAGACTGCTTTAGAACTAACACTTGACGAAATACGTATAGGAAAAGAGAATCGTACTTGCTCTTCAAAAAATTGTTATTTGGAGAAGACGACTTGAGATATGAGTTCTTTGATGACTGCAACTCTTTAACTCAACTCTTCAGCGTGTATCAGAAAGGAGAATCGGTTCTTCAGCTATCTTCACCTCTCTTCAGCTTGGTTCATAATCTCTTTGGTTAATCAAAAATCTGGATGGAAATGTGAAGGAGGAAAGCTGAACGAAGAAAGTGCAGTGAAAGAGTAAAGTGAAGTGAAAAAGTTAATGTTTGGTCATTTATTAATGTTTATTTTTTTTTGCCAATAAAAATGGGAGGGAGTGTTAAAAATATTGGAGGGAATATAATATTTGAGTGAAAAATTTTAAGGCAACACTTATAAAGTGTTGTTTTTTCAATTATAAAAATAGGACATTTTAGAAGTGTGGTCATATATGTAAATAGGTGTTGCAAATTATATCATATTTTAACAACACTTATAAAGTGTATCTTATATTATTAAAAAGTACACTTTTGAAGTGTTGCCAAAATTATTGTAGCTAAAAGTTAAAAATTTTGGCTACGCTTTAAAAGCGTTTCCAAAACTACTTTAGGCAACACTTTACAAGTGTAGTCCAGAATAAGTGTGGTCGCCTAAAATGGTGTAGTGTTGAAAAACATTTCATCATCTTTGAGTTTGATATTATTACTCAAAAGGTTTCTCTTAAAAGAGATAGTACTCAAACTCCTTATGAACTCTTTTGGTAATCGATGCTTCCTCTCATATTAAATGCAAAAATATTTACCGTTGGAAATACTTAGTTCACATATATTTATTTTAATAAAATAAAACTCATTTCTCCCCATCCTCAACTCAAGTACTCAAGTCTTAAAAAAAGTTTTAAAAGATTGTAAAGACTTCTCAAAAAAACTCGAAAGAACTCTCAAGACTTTATTTTTAACTCTACCTTGAATTTGAATCATAAATTTAAGGGTTATGATTCATGTTATGTATGATTTCTCGATGTTTAGATTTAGTTTATAGAGTTGATATGAAGTAGGAAACATGGGTACAATTCTAGGGAACTCACACGGAAAAAAGGTCGGAAGGGTAGGGGACCTGACGACCCTAACACACTGAGTGGCATGGGGCGCCATCCCCTGAATAATGACCGTGGGTTGGGTCGCACTAAGTGACGTAGTACGCCAGACTCTAACCTACAAAACATGAGTTAGGGTGCACTGAGTTGCGCGGCTCCCTACCATGTACCTAAACTTTTGACGAATTTTGTTACTTCATTTTCATGTTTAACTCCTCTAGAATCAAACGAATCCCCTCGAAATCTTATGTATTCATATAATCAATATAATTACAATGAAATCAACTCTAATTTACGAAGAATAATGTCCAAACATAGTATCCTCATTGCAAGAACTCAACAAAACCTTATACTTAAATAATTGATCACAAACTTCAAGAAACTTATCAAGAACTCAAATTTATCAATCTTTATGGATGGATTTGAATATGTAAATTGTGATTTGGCATGTGAGTGAACGAATCAAAAACTATAAAATTTTACATACCTCGATTTAGTGAAAAAAATCCTCGGTTCACAAGAATCTTGTTTGTTCTTCCTTTTTCTCCTCTTTTCCTCTTCTTGAACTCTCTTCTAAAACCTTAAATGTAATTTAGGATTTGTAAAACTGACCTAAATTAGATCTGACCCAAAATATTTCTAATTTCATTTTAATATGATGGGGTAAGAAAAAGACCAAAATACCCCTCACTAATTTAGGTAACTTTGCTTGACTGGACAGACTAACCTCAAACAGGCATATTTCCTTCATATGAGCTTGAAATTTAGCAAACTTGGTGGCGTTAGAAAGAGAGTTTCAAGTCCTTTCATTTGTTATCTTATGGGTCACATAAATCATCATGTACCGAAAGTTATAATCGTTTGAAGTTGACCTAAAACTCCTAACTTAAGCATAACTTGCAAAATTTCAGATTCGGCTATTTCCAATTTAGTTCTTCCTAAATTAAGCTCTTTGTAAGGCGGAATGTTACAAGAATTTTAGGAGTGACTAATAGGATTTAATTATGAAAAAATTGATTTCCTATACATTTTAGGTCATTTAAATAATTTCCCAAATGTTTTTACGACAAAAGTACCCTTAGAAGATAAATGATAAGAGTTCGAAGAACAAAATTCAATTCGAATAGACAGTGAAGTCCGTTTCTCCCCGTACTGCAGAGCCATTACAAATCATTTTATAGGTTAGAACATCTTTAGTAAATCAGTCATAAATTTATACTCAAAACTCGGATGGACACAAACTTGATGACTTTCGAATGAAGATTCTTAGATATTTAATTTGATAGGTTATGGGTCACCTAAATCTTCATATTCAAAGAGATATGATATTTTGAAGTTGAGTCTTATAGGAACTCACGTGAAAACATCACCGATAGAAATGCTTTGAATTTGTCTTGGTTGTTAAGGTACCTTAAGAACCTAAAATACACCCGAGACACTTGGTAAGGGACTTTACATACATTAAAAATATCATTGAGTTTGGACCTATATGTATACAAAGGGTGATTCGATTCTTCACTTAAAAGTTGTGAGGCATTACAATATATCCATCTTGGGATCAATTGTCCAACACATATAAGAAAACATAAGGCACGAATATGAATATATGTACTAAAACAGGCAAACAAAAAGTATAGAGGATGACTTAGAAATAAGACAAGAATTATTACCTCCAGCATTGTTGTTCTAAAGAATGAATAACGTCGGGTATATTGACTTCGTATCCTCTTCAGCCCCCCGCATAACCTCTTCAAGAAATTAATTTCTCCATAGAACCTTCACTCACGCTATGTCTTTGGCTATCAACTTACAAACCTATCGATCTAGTATCTGAATCGAAGCTTCCTCGAAGGATAAGATATCCTTCACTCCAATATTTTCTAATGAAAAATATGAGATGGATCTCCAACACAGTCTTTCAACACGGATAAATGAAATATAGGATGCACAACTGCCAACTACACAAGAAACTTTAGCTCAGAAGCTACTTTCCCAACATATCAGGCACTAAGCTTCTCATTTTAACCAAAACGTTTCACCCCTTTTATGGGAGACGCCTTAAAAATACCCAATCATCTACTGCGAATTCTAAGCCACTTCTTCTTACATCAGAGTAAGATTTATGGCACATTGAGGCCATTTTTAGTCATTCTTTAATCAATGTGACTTTCGCTTTTGCTTCATAGACTTAAGTATGGTCCTACCAAAGTAGCCTCAACTACTTGAAACTAATCAATAGGTGATTTACACCTCCTCCCATACAACACTTTAAATAGAGTCATCTCAATGCTGGAACGATAACTATTATTTTAAGAAAACTCAATAAGAGGTAAGGTATTGATGCTTCAATATATGTATCTTTTATATTTTGTGATCAGTGACACTAATCTAGAGTTTGAGTGTCAACAAGTTGAAGCTAGTAAAGAAACCCAACTAAGGGTTGGGGTCGTGTCTCAAGGGAGTGGTAGTGAAAGTAGTAGCTACTTAGAATTTTGTTCTAAATAGTGATAACTCAAGAAATTTTCGAGTATTAAAATAAAATAAAATAAAATTTGTGATTCAAAGTGTCAAATATCAAGAAAGGGTTTCATTACAAGTTGTAAAATAGCAAAAAAATAATAATAAAGGAGAAAAAAAAGTATGTGAGAGAGTTCTTGGGTGTGACCGCAATATATGTTGACACAAGCTGATGGGTACATGTTTTTGATAAGAAATTTTGCAATACAATGGTGACTAGGATAAGCCTTAGGTGAAAGTAAGTCCCCCTTTGGGGAGCTTACCCCATATCAAATGGGTTCCTCTCGGACCCACTCGTCCAAACTAACCAACCTACGCCTTACCCACACCCTGACCTTTCGATAGAGTGTTTTTGAATATGGGACTAGGTCTCACCCTCTCGAGCTGAACCTCATGTTGACTCGCTCCTTAGGCCATCAGTCTAGTGGTCTTGGTTTCGCGACCTCCCTCTCGGGCAAGCCGAAAACACATGGGTGATTTTATATTTGTAAATACAAACTCATTAAATTAAACCATAACTAGTAGGTGAAATCACCATTAAAATCAATTTAATACTATCAGCAAGTTAGACCTAACTATCAACACTTATTTGCTAAATCACACCCCAAAAATAGGGTTTTTGTGCCACACCTCAAGCAATAATCATATACTTCAAATAATAAAGGAATTAAATGAGTACAACAGATTAAACCTTATGGCAAAGGAAGGTAAATGGAGCAGACCCACTTTCAAGATTGGAAGAAGAATTTCCTTCTTCAAATTCCTCAAAACCCTCTCCAAACTTGAGAGAAAAACTTAAAACTAGAGTTCTAAAAAGTGAAAAATGATAATAATGTTTGGAATTAAAATAATTAAGAGTTTGGTATTTGTAGGCTTCAAATTATAGTTCTGGTGGATCCATTAAGCGTTTTTAGTCGTGAATCGCCGAGTGATTCGACGATATGCCCTTTCTCTAATTTGTCACCATTTGTGTCTTGCCTTTATATCCATTCATGTTGTAACATTGGACGGAATAACTATGCTTCGCGTAACTATTCGATGAAATGTCGATTGCTTTTTCTCTCCTTTTGATCCAGTTCTTTTAGGGTTCACTTACTGTAATAGAAGGCGAAATTCTACTATACGACGCATCGCCAAGGGTGCTTGGCGATGCGCACTTACACATTCAACTCTTTTCTTCCATTTTGATTTCATTTTGTGCTTAAGTGTGCATGCTTCTACAAAATCCTCAAATACATGAAACTTAAGAGTTTTTATCAGATATATCGAGATAAAATACACAATTGAGGACAATATTTGTATTAAAATAAGGTCTTAGATGGGTGCAACTTGAGGACTTATCAAAGACCACACCAGTTACATTTGAAGTCGACCCCGTAAGCCCTTAACATATCTTATAGATCTTGAATAGTATTTGTGAGTAACAATTATTCTTTGTAATATGTATTTATATTGTATTATAAATGAATTAAAAGTGAACAAGTGAAAAAAATAATATTAATACTATAAACGTTAAATATTTTTTTACTATAGTATATTTATGTAAGTTTTTCTATTTTTTATCATAAAAATCTTCATAAATTAGTTGGTCCAAACTTTGTAAACGTATTATCTGGAAAAAAAAAGTTTTAATATAGATTCAAAAATAAAATTTGTACAATTTGTATTTATAAATTATTCTCTCTTACATGTATTAAAATTGTATTATAAACATAATATAGGTGTATTAAAGTGTATTATAAACGTATTTTCTATAAATAAAATTTATCTCTCTAACATGTATTAAAATTGTATTACAAGTGTCCTATGAAAAAGTAAATGTTATTTCTATCAATGATAAATATTTTCTTAATAGAGGATATATATGTAAGTTCCCTTTATAATATGTGGATAATATTTATATTTGAATACAATATTATTTTAAAAGTGAGCTAACAAACAAACTATAAGTTAACTTTTAAAATTCAAAATATAACGTAAAATTAGTTTTTGAATTTTCAAGTAAAATCACTTACTTCCTATGTCTCAATTTATGTGACACATTACGTTCTTCGAGAGTCAAACAATTAAGTTTGATCGAGAATTTACGCATGACATCTTCAATTTTTTAAATAAAATTTATATATTTATAAACTACATAAAAAGTACTATTACAATAATCAGTAAGCGAAAAACTTTTGAAATGTATGAAAAATATAGGGGAAAAGGTATGGAAACATTTATACCATTAACATACATTGTTAAATAGTTAGGAGGGGTAACAAGTCTTTCACAAAGTTTGGTATCATACGTAACAACAATTTCAATCTAAGTTGAGGTATCTTTAAATCTTTTTTCCAAAAATTTATAATCAAAGATAGACTTATTTAAATTTTAAATTTTAAAATAATTATATAAATTCAATCGGAAGAAATAATATTTTTTTTCATTAAAAAAAAGTAATACAGAGAGAAATGAAGAAAGTTTTGGGTGGGACCTATAGTAAGTATTAGTAGGCCCAATAGATAATGAAATCAAAGGTTAATTATGTTAGAGAATTTAAAAAAGTCATAAAAGTTGCAACAAACTGAATATTAAAAACTATGAAATAAAAATAAAGGACCAAAAAGTCCTCAAGCTATTGTAGAAATTCTGTGAAGCACACAAGTTGACGCATGTGTGTTCACACTAAGGCTGGCAGGGGGACCGGGTTGGCCCGCCCCGGCCCGCGTTCCGTCCCGACCAGTCCCGGACCCTGTCCATCCCCCAGGGTTTAATGGGTGGGGAATGAGGGGATCGGTCAGGGGCCGGTTCACCCCTGCGTCCCCGTCGACCCGGCCCGGTTGAACCGACCGGTTCGCGGGATCCCCCCATTTTTTTTATTTTTTTTAAATTTAAAAAACTATCCGTTTATATCCATTGGGGAAACGGCTAATGCCCCCCCAACGGATTTATGCCCCTTTTTGTGTTCCCAACCACCCCTTACCACCCCCTACTTTTAAAACTTTATTTTAAACCCTCAAGTTATTATAATTACACTTTAACCCATTTTTAATACTATAGATACACCTATCCTCTACTATTTCTTACAAAATCATCTATTCTCATTTCTATTATCTATTTTCTATATTCTATGAACTCTCAAGTGTCAATCTTAATTTCTATTCAATTTTAATTCTCATATTATTAGAATCCATATATTTCAATTTTCAATTAAAAAATTTCATATTATATCAATAAATATAATTATATTATCTCATATTTGTTATCAAGTATTGGCTTGGAGTTACAAATTACAAGTTACAACAAATCACAAGCTTCAACAATCAGTTTAATGTCTGCTATTAACGCAGACGTTTGGTACATTCATTTCATAATATTTATATTTTATTATTCGTCTTTACTTTTGTGTTATTATTATTTTTATATTACACTTTATATATATATATACTAGGAAGATATGGCCCGTGCTTGCACGGGCCCAATGGAAAGATTTTTGCGAGCTAAATAGGCACACACACACCGTTTTGGGCTAACACACAACATAAAAAAGCAATTGTTTGTGGCCTCATTGTTTACATTGGATGTTATATCCATACTAAAAAAGCAATTGTTTGTGGCCTCATTGTTTACATTGGATGTTATATCCATACTATTTACCTAACATCCTTGCAAGCTTTGGATTCTTTCCTATCTCTGATCGGGAAAGAGGTTACCGAGCAAGTGAAACTGTACTCGTCTCTTCTCCTTCTTGTCCTCTTGTACTTCCGTTCTTATTCTCGTATCCGAAACCGGAACAAGCTCTTCTTTAACAGCCTCGCTTTGTTAGCTTCTTGTTAGTATTATAACCGGAACAAACTCTTCTTTAACAGCCTCGCTTTGTTAGCTTCTTGTTAGCATTAGTGCTGCATTTTTCCTGCTTTTCAGTAGTAAGCACCTATCAAGAAGCAGAAGAGGGAAAAAGAATTTAGGTACAAAGTGAAATATTTTTAGTCATATATATATATATATATATATATATATACATACACACACACACACAATTCTGTCAATAGAAAATGACCTACCAAATAATATACGTTTCAGAGTCGAATTCATAATCTAACCTATTTGCTTTCGATGAGCCAGATAACCATCTGGAATTCTTGAAAACTGACGATGAAGCTAGCTTTTACACGCTGACCAGGATAGAAAGGAAAATGTCCATCTTCAAGGCCATTCCTACCAACTGGTTTAAGATGTAAAGGGTCAGCCTTCATAACTTTACATACAGAACCATCATCAAACATCACTGTGACATTATCAAAAACATCATCAATTCTACCCAACCAAGGGCCAAGGACAACATAATCACCAACTGTAAAACCCCGAACACGTTTCAACTCTCTAGATGAGACATTTTTAAAAATAGAGCCATCGTGCTCTAATAAATCTACAGACATATTGATATCAACCACGAGTCCTACTTGACCTGTTGGATCAGAAGCTGCAGCAACATAATCACCATGCAGAAATCATCTATCGACAACTATGACATTATTACTACTCTCTGTAGACTCAGACTCATCCATCCAAAGGACTCTAACATGATCTGCGATAAGCGGATCACTCTTACAATTACTACGGTCTTTGTTCCCATCATCAGCTTCCTTAGCCTTCTCTTTGTTATCCCTATCGTCTTCCGTGTTGATATCACCACCATCAGCAGCAGCAGCAGCACTACCGACACCGTCATCATCATCATCATGGTCTTCTTCTCCATTATCCTCATCCTCATCTTTATCATTCGTTAAGCTGCTATCGGAATTCTGAGTCACCAGCCTTTATGTTTTAAAGTGGTAAGAAGCACACATGTTGAAATAAGCCATTTCTACTATAGTAGCAATAAAGACTAATAAAAGTCACTTGTAATTAAACCAATTTACTCAATCAAATAGTATAAGTTATAAACTTTGTCATAAGTTATTTCACCAACTATAACAACACATGAATGTTGTCATATTTAAGGCTGATAAATGGAGTTATTCTTTTTTAACACTTGTCCTTTTATTTGTTAAAAATAAAACTTAACTTATACAGACAAATATTTCTAATTTGGATTATAACATAGTATATTTGAAAGAAAAAAATTAATATTGCTTATGATGCAAATAAAGGTTGCTTTCAATGTCCCGTGCGATATGCAGAATATCAGCTAATTTGGTGCCTCCAATCAATACATTCATTCACTGACAAATACTCACTCACCCCACATTCTTGCTCTGCACCTTACTGGACTTAATCCTTACCCTTTACCTGACCCCGCTAAAAAATGTTCTACTACTCCATAGAAAACTTCCAGCCAAGAAACAAAGTAGGTGTGGTAGATAACCCAAATCTCACACGGTAATAAGGATTAAGGTCACTCTTCTTGTTTAGAAAGTATAATATTGGGTACTTGTCATATAAAGTTGAGATGTTTATATCCATTATGTGACATTAATAATGCTCTTTCTTTACAAGGATTAGTGTCAGTTTTTATTTATTTTTTATTTGCAATCCTAGCGGAAGTTCAGAAGATAATATTTAGCTAGCTTAATAGCAGCTGATTACAAAAGGAAACAAATTCAAATCTCCTAGATTGGCCTGTTTTCTGATTCCACATTACTCTAGCATCTCTGTAAGAGAAACATCAATGTAGCATCAACTACATTCATCCATTTTTAAAAATATGAATGCAAGGAGAACGTGTATAGTACAAAATAAATACAGAATAGAACGTATAAGAAGCCAGTGAGATGACCCACAAATATGTTAAAATGATCTGCAAATGAGAAGAAACAGTTTTAGTTCTTGAAAAGATAATGTAAAAAATTAAGAGGGTCTAAAATTGAGGTGAGAAAAGATACACACTTGATGTGTCCTCTGTTTAAGCACCGGCATACGCCCAGTTAACCTTTATAATCTGTCCAAATCTGTGGATTTCATTATCTTTTAGGCGGACGAACACTAAATATTAGATAAAATTGTAGGAGACAGAGGTTTAGACTCACATTTGGGGATGGGAGAGGGAATTCCTAACTTATGTAACTTTGATTTATTTAGAGGATGTTAATTCTATATGGTATAACCCTTTAGTTGGCAGTCTATTATATTCTATTTTAGCTTCTTCTCCTAGATATTGTTCTAACAGATTTAGTTACATTTAACTAAAGATCTCTTATTCCTTTTTAATGAAATAGTCTACATGATGAATAAATGAATAGTTTTCAAATCTGTTTAGGCTTTTGCTCACTCTCAGATTCTGCCTCAACTTCCCTAGAAAAATAAAGAGAAGAAAGCATGTCCACATCCTACATCTGTTACAAACACTTCAACATACAAAAATTTCAAAAGCAATATTTCAAAACACATGGCTTGAGGAGTTCATGGTTCAAAGTTTAATAGTATATCAATTGTTTCTTTATACTTTACTTGGAACAATTGATTTACAAATCTTATTAATCACAAATTTACGATTCACTAATAAAGTCAACTGATTTACAAATCAAAGATAGTATTGTCAGTCTCACTAACTTGAATTTTTAGGGGTGTTTCTAAGAGAAGATACGTCTAACCTTTTATTCAGTCTAAGTTTCCTTTAACACATTCATTTTAGAGTAGGAACAAGTTAAACACCTTGTTGAAAACCATTGAAACAAACTCTCTATAGACCAATGTTGTCGAGGCCTCATCATGTGAAGCAAGTATAAAGTTTGTATTAGCATTCTAAATTATTACTAAACAACTAAAATTTAAATGAGGAAACTACTTAACTAATTTTTCTTTTAATAATGAAGAGCAAGAAATTGATATACTACTTCAACATTTCTGCCGCAGCATATTATTATCCATCATTTGTAGACAACATTTCACCCTGGAAATCTATGGAGACACCATATCACACCAACGCAGCAGGGCGACAAATATTGAAAATCACACAACATGGACGTGTTGATATAATTTTAATATCATGTTAATAAAATGAATTTCAACATAACTAACATAAAAAAACTAACTCAAAAATAGAATATATATATATATATATATATACATATATATATATATATATATATATATATATTAGATAACACACTCATGCCGTACCTACGACTGAAATCAAATTACTAAACTTCAGTAATAATTTAAAAAGTAGTATGAGGATCTGAAATAGAAATATTTAATCATACATCATATGACTGCTCAACTCAGCTGTGAAATGAAAGAATACATTTGCACTTCTAAATCCTCAATTTGCAAACCTTGAAATAAAAATCTCAAACTCCTAACAAATATAGAAACTAAAAGGCCATAAGAAGAGCATCAATAAACATAGTCACGGTAGCACAATATCAATACAAAAACATTTTACACTTTCAAAGAGTGAGGAACCATACATATAATAAATTCAAAGTGATAAAACGGAGAGATGACAAACCTCACATAGCAAATAGAGTCAGGGGCACGAACAATATAAACACGCCATTGTTAATCCTTCAGAACAGGACTCTTACAACACATCTCATTGCATTGTCCAAACCTGCACATACCCTCTCATTTTTTGTTCTACCTTAATTAAATAGAGAAACATTAGGATTTCAAGTTCAATAAAAGATGTTTACAAACCATGAATACTTTAACAAATAAATGTCTCAGCGATATATTTTTCCTTCAATATTCTAAAGGGATGAAACTTTATGGATGTGTTGAAAATATGGAACAAAAATTAATTGTTTGTTCACCAACTAATAATATTCCTAAAAACAACTCACAATAATATGAATTCAGTATTTTTGTGCCAAAAAGAGGAGCAACTATTATGCTTTTAATTATTCAAGAGCATGGATAACAACACTGATGCAAGGAACAAAAAAATTTGGGCTAGATTATTTATGCAAGGAACAAATAATGATGTTGCATTCTATAAAGGGGTCTTCATTTTTCTATTTTAGCATATTAATCTCATTCCTATTGCAGAAGCCAACAAAAGCCATGACTTGCTTGGTTCATTTTTGAGTATTTCTAGCCTTTTTATTTCCCACATGATGAACATGTTGTAACTTTCTCCTACTAAGCTAAGCTGATAATATATAAATTTAACAGTATAAAATATAGAATTACCATTCAATTTCTAGAATAGGGACAACTGCTAAGCTTCTTTGAACTATTAGTCCACAAACTAAGCATAGCATAAAAAATGATAGCAATTAACACTTAACAATTAATATCCAAATAGCAAATAAAAAAATAGAAAAAAAAAGTAAAGAGGAAAATAAAGGATGCATTTTTTACAAAACCTGAAAATTAATATGGACAACTACACAAAAAATTATGTTAATTAAATCAAAAGGAAGAGCTAGTAAATAAACTTGTTTAATTATCACTATAAAGTTGGATGATGAGTCAACCTTCTTCACAAAGTAACTACATCAATAATACTATAGCCATAGTTATATGCAGCTGTAATGAATAATAAGTTACAACTACAACAACACCAGAATTTTGGCTCACTGATAGACTTGACAAGTTCAAAAAATGCATTTTTCATGTATCAGCTCTAATCATATACAATTACCTTCTCTTTGATCATACCATTGACACTCCACTTGATTAATAAAAAGAGTAATAAGAGCTATTTCGAGAAGGTCTTCAGTTTTTCAATAAAGAAATTACTAACTCCAACAGCTCTAAGTTATTGACAACATTTTTCACCAGAACAGGCCAATGAATCTTTAAAAAAAAAATAAAATGAGCCAATAGGAAAATACAAATGTAAGACAAGCAGAAGTTCAACAACTCATTGAAAACCCATTTTGTTGAGAATTTATTTTTAAGACACAATAATAGTAAGTAAATTGCCAATTAATAGAGCTTTTGGGAGCACTTATACAGGTGAGATCTAATATTTTTCAGGTATGTATATGAAGTCAAGTATCATAACCAATAGCATATGCAAATCAGTGTACAATATTCACAACATACAGATCACATATAGTCAGGTCGAAACTTCGTTAAATGTCATTTATACATCATTAGAATCATAGTTAGTGCACCTATACAAATTCATACATCATAATACATGAATATCTTTAAGACATCGACAACATAGCAATTGTTTGAATGCATGTCATTCGAATCAACTATGACACATAAGCAAAAGAATAATTCCAAGTTTGATTAGATTAAAGCAACAACCCTTTATTTCAGACCAAATTCATGCTAGAACAGAAAAGTTTCTCCATAATAACCAACACAAACAGTTACTATAAATGAATAAACTTACTTGAGTGGTCAACAAATCTGTAGCAAATGGTGTTGAAACACGTGTGTTGTAGGATACTCAATAATTGCCTCTAATAAGAGCCTTTTCTATCTCTCTGACTCTCATATTAGCAGCACGGACTATTTGGCGATAGGAGTGGCCAGCTTCCCTGGCTAGATGCAGATTGACATCCTCCCCATTACCAAACGAAGCACCCATAATAATCGGTTCGCTAACTCTCTCAGGTCCTTCAGTACACACAACCCAGAGAATGAAGATGCACTTTAGCAAGAAAGCTCATAGACGTATCTAATGTAGAACAAAGAGCAAAATCGGAATAAAGGGCGTAAGAAACCATCAACGAACATACCCGTAGTTCAAATCTGGTATAAGTAGTTCCAGATCCTTGAATTTGCTAAGAAGACACATCGATAGTTCAAATTTTGGCATAAGTAGTTGCAGATCTTTAGATTTTCACACTGTAAATTAAAATAATTTCAAAAAGTTAATGCAATCATGTAAAAAGAACTCGAAGCGAAACCCACAACAGTATACAATTAAAATGAAGAAACCGAAAAAGTTAATTCCAATGGAAAACCAACATATACAAACAGAGGAAGTCCAAAAGAAGTACGATGGAAAAAACAACTGGAATTAAGGAACCCAAAAAGTTAATTTCGACAAAGAACCATCTACGAACAGATAATATTCAAAAGAATTATGATAAAGACAGACTAAATTAATTGTTGCATGTAATAAACAAAGCAAAAATCAGTAATTAAATAGGAAAAACACAACCACATAACAAAAATTGAACATCAACACTAAAACCAATTGAAAAAGAAGAAAAAATCATGAATTTTGAAGAAGGTAATTTTTATCTCAATGATTGCCCTAATTCAAGTTCTAACCAACATAAAAATCAAAATTTCATGAACCCAAAAATTAGAGTTTGCAGATACGTAAGTAGGAAGTCTCATCTACATGCACAAACACAATTCAATGAAAAAGTTGAGAACAAACACAAAAAAAAACAATCGAGGGAAAAAAGTACCTTAATGCTCTAAATAACGACGTCATCTCTGCACACAAACTGTTTGATAAAACTCCTCACCGAACCATTTGCCTCTGGAACTCCTTAATTCGAGGTTATGCTAGAGCCCACAAATTTAGAAATGCATTTTCGCTGTTTAATGATGTGCTTCATTCTGAAATAATGCCTGATAACTTCACTTATGCATGCCTTGTAAAAGCCAGCTCTGAGAATTTTGATTTGCACAGCTTAAGAGTGTTACATGGAGGGGTTGTTCTATCTGGATTGCAGTTGGACTTCATCTGTAGAGATCTCCGTGAAAGCTTATAGGGATAAAGCTCAAGAATGGAAGCCACGTATAAAAACTTGGATGATCACACAGACACGTGGAAACAAAATAGAATTGTATGGAGATGAAACAGACATGTTGATTAAGCTCTTTCTAATATAAGAGAAATATATAATTAAGTATGAGTTCTAGCAAAAAAAATAGCGGTAAAGGAAAAGAGAAAGACAAGATAACGAAGAAAGTGGACTTTTTAAATCATTTAATTTTGGTAAAAAAAAATAGTAAAGAAAAAAAGAATAGTAAAAGTGGTGGTACTTCATCTAAATCAACGAGTAGAGTTAGATTTAACATAAATGATTCTACTTATGTTGATGATACTCCTTATAATATTGATTCAAATGTTCAACTTTATCACGAAAGTTTAGAACGACGTTATGGTAATATTAATCCTAATGTTGATGAAAATTTAGGTGAAGAAGTAGAAGCTGATTTGGGAGAAGAGGAGTTAGATGAAACACCTACTAGTCCGGTGACAGAAGTTCCAAATGAGACTATCAATTTATCGGAGCAAAATTTTGGACATCCACCCCTTATACCTCCCACAAGGGAGAAGGTGAAGTATCAAGGACCTAAAACTTCTATTGTGTGGCAATTTATGACTTTTGATAAAGAAAATAGTGTTGCTATTTGTAATAAGTGTAAGGAACCTTTTAAACATAAACAAGGTGGGGGTCAAGGTGGAACGGGGGGATTAAATAGACATTTGTTATCTTGTGTGCCAATTCAATATAAAGAAGCTAAAGCATTAGCCAATAGAAAAAAGGGAATTTCAATTAATGAATTAGATATTATCGGTAATGCATCGATAGGGGATTCTAACATGGTTCAAGAAACATTAGATCCTTTAAACCCCGCTGGTCCAATAACACAACGTAAATATAATAAGGAATTAGATCGGGAAAATTTAGCTAAAATGATTTATGTTTGTGATTTGCCTTATAGTTTTCCTTCAAATCCCGATTTTGTTGAATATATTCAACAAACTTATAATTCGGATTATAGAGGCTTTTCAAGAAATACCGTTAAAACTGATGTTTTTGAATATCAAGGTAAACATTGTCAATTTTTTCGTTGTCTATTTAGCATATTAGATAGTAGAGTGTCTATAACTTCGGACATGGGTCGTAGTGTTAATGGAAATGATTATTTAACTGTTACTGCACATCGGATTGATCATAATTGGAATTTGCAAAAAAGAATTATAAGTTATAAACTATGTATAGAGAAAAAAACTGGTGTATATTTAGCTTCAAATATTTTAAGTGTTTTAGATTATTACATGATTATAGATAAAATAATGTCTGTCGCATTAGATAATGCATCTAATAATACAAATGTTGCGAACATGTTAAAAGTTAGATTATGTCCAATTGACAATAAAATTTTTCATGTTAGATGTGTTGCACATATATTAAATTTAGTTGTACAAGATGGTATTTCATTATTTGATTGTGGTAGCGTGAAAGTTGAATATGTTGTTACCTGGATTTTTCATACAAACAATGCTGCTAGAATTAGGGAATTTAATGAGCGTTGTTCACTATGTGAATTGTCACCTAGAAAAATTCCAAAACATATTAAAACAAGGTGGAATTCTCTTTACGAATGCTTTCGGTTGCTTATAAATATAGAAGACCCATACAAATGGTTTTTAATGCTCATAATGCTGACCCATTAGATAGAATTTGTGATGAAGATTGGAAAGAAACTAAAGAACTATTACAATTTTACGACTTTTTTATGATGCTACTACCATGTTTTCGGGAATTTATTATCCTACTATTTAATCCGTATTAATAAATATTTGTGATCTTTCAATTCAATTTTGTAAATATAAAAAAATAGATAAAATTAGAGTTGCAATTGAAGGTATGATTGAAAAATTTTAAAAATATTTTTTTCCTATTCCTCAAGTTTTTTTAATGGCTACTTTACTTCATCCTGCTTATAAATTACAAGGTGTGCAAGGCCTTGTCGACACTTTTTATGAAACTTCTCAAATTTGAAATTTAAAACTTTAAAGTTGAAACTTGAAATTTGAAACATGAATCTTAAAATTTGAAAATTGAAACTTTAAATTTGAAAATTTATTTTGATATTTGAAAATCAAAAATTAAATTTAAAATTTATTAGCTAAAGACGTATCATTTCAATAAAAATATATAAATATTTATATAAAAAAGAATCCTCCGTCCCATGCCATTCCGTCCCGTCCCGTCCCCCCAAATCCCATCCCATCCCGTATATAGAGTGGGACGGGATGAGACCTATTTTCATCCCCCTAATCCTGGTCCCCCACATCCCGGTCCCGTGTCAAATCCCCTCTCCCCGCCCCCCGTCCCGTCCCGTTCCCCTTCGTCTCGTCCCCCAGTCCCCTTCCCCGTTCCCTTGCCAACCCTAGTTCACACTGTAAGCTAATTTAGTTTTCGACATTTTTGTCTTTTAATTTAAATATTAAATATATAATTCAATTATGTTTCCAAGACATTAAAAATAATCAGTGAGATTAGTTATTGATAATTTCATAGTTAAACATGAAAAAAATAAAAAAATTGACCAAAATAACATAATTCTCACAACTCTTCGCATTTGAAATCTTTAAGATCTAAAATAAAAAATTAAATTAAATTATAATATATATGTAGTAGTAGTAAATGAAAAATATATCTCTTTTTCGATTTCAATTTTCCTCCTTTTTACTTATTTTTTTTTTCATTTCTTATTTCTTAATGATAATGAAAAAACTTTAAAAGTATAAAAGAGAAGTAAGGTGTAAATTATCTATATTAATTTATAATTTTTAATCGTGAAAAAATAATTAATATGTAAATTTAAATATTAAAAAATTATTTTAAAAAATATATATGAAATTGACCAAATTGGATAAAGAATTACTCTTATTTATTTAAAGGAGTTGTTATTACACACCGATTTTCTAAAAATAAATTAATGAAAAAAATATATTTTATTCAATTATATTCAATGAGTGAACTATGAAGAAAACTAAAATAACCATCATGTTTCCTCTATTATGAGATTATCTTCATATTTTCAATTGCATATGAATCATATATATGCAAAAAAAAAATCATTAAAATTAATTTTTATTTATTATTTTAGTACAGAGACATACGATTTTTTTTTAATGAAAAACGTTGATGGTGCTTCATTGAAATTTTTTAATAACATAAAAAGTATATAGATAATATTTTATGATTTCAAATAAACTTTTACAAAAAAAATTAAAAGAAAAACAACTTTATAGTTCTCCGATTCCAATGACAACACAAATTTAACATGAACTAGATTTAAGTTTCATTACGTATATATTTTTATTTATAAGTATTATTTGTTATTCTATTAAAAATGTTTGCTATTAAATGATATGATAAAATATTAAGTATACATAGTTGTAGTCACAATATTATTTTTTTCTTTCAAATTAATATTTTTTTTGAACTAATTAATAATTTTTAAAATTAAATAATTTTATTGCATTTACTATATAAATAAATTTAAAGTACCTACTTAAATAATTATTTAAATTACATTTTAAATACTTTTTTTATATATAATGTAAAATAATTGAATAAATAACAATCAAAACTCAAAATACTTTATAATTGATAGACAACAACACATTAAAGAAATACTAAAAATCATATGATTTATAAATGTCGATCCTATTAAACAACAACCCAAGATAACTACACATCAATGTTGAAAAATTACATATTTGTTAATTATTATGTTTTGAAAAATCAAATTTCATATTTAAAATTTATGTTTGGTTATTATGCTTTAAAAAATTGAACTACATATTTACAACAACATGTTTAAAAATTACACGACATATTTAAAAAATTTAAATTGCATATTTGATTACTATGTTTTCAGAAAATTAAATTATACATTTTTATAATGTGTCGATGTCTATCGATTCGGAAGTATTTTGAGATTTGATTATCGTTATTGAAATATTAAAAATGAAAATAATTTTTAAAAGATATACATCCTAGTTAAGTTATACTTTACTTATAAACATTAAACATATTCTAAATTAATATAAATACATTTATTTTAAAGTATTATAATTGATAATTAGGTATTGAGTGATCTTTTATTCATTTGTTTTGAAATATCCACTTAATTAATACTATTGGAATAACTGAATTATTCATTCATTGTTAAAATTCTTGAAATAATTTCACCATTTTTGATGTATATGTTAATTCTTGTGCAGAATGATTATAATATAAAAAAAATAATGTGTTTTTCATGACATAATTTTAAATGTCTTATGATCAATTATTTTTAAAAATATCAAAATTTAATATAATTTTTCTCCCAAAAAATATCCATTATATAGTCTTATATATTTAGTTGATTATATTTAAAGAAGAATTTAATTAATTTTTTAATATATGCTTCATTACTATATTTTACAAATTTTTTATTACAAAATAATTAAGTATAATTTTAAGTAGATAAGATAGTCATATGTAGTTACTATTAATGAGAAATTTAATTATCTTTTTCAATAAAGAGATTTATTCTAAATGAAAAAATAATTTTCAAAGATATACGTTGGCACCTCAGGATCATAATTGAATTTAGGAGAGGAGTATATATAAAACATAATTTGCTATATAATGAAAAAATATAAATGTATAAAAATAAAACTATAAAAATATTTTTTTAATTACTACGTACATCTTTTCAATTAACTAAACAGTACTTACTTTTAAAAATAAATTGAATGAACTAGACAAAAAAACATTTTTCATTTTTCTTTGGCAGACAAATAATTAATGTTTAGTAGTTTAAGAATTTTTAAAAATAGAAAAAAGTTAATTTTATTTGAAGAAAAAAGGATTGATGAAATAAAAATTTACTCTTTTTACATTCTAACTAAATTCTGACCAAATTTTTTTGGCCATTTAGCAAAATATATATATATATATATATATATATATATATATATATATAAACTACAAAAAGAAGAAGAAAATACAGCTTGGATTAATGTGTGGCGGCATAAGAATCTCATCAATCATTAATTAGACGGTGACTGTCTCAATTTGTTCTTGTCAATTTTATGAAACAATTAATTCAGGCAGTAGATCCATTAAGATTGAAAGGTGTGCATGTGCTTTTCTTCTTACTTTTCCGTTCTTGTTATTGACATTTTAGATTTTGCGTTCTTGAAAAAATTATTTTTATTATTATGTTTTATTAAGTATTTTTTAAAATTAAATTTTTAATTAATAAATATCAATTAATTTATTAATATAACTTAATTATTTAATTTTCATATTGCTTAAATTTATATTTTTCAAGAGTAGCAATTTTCGAGGATAAAATAGAAAGCATTATTATCAATGTATTAATTTTTTTTTGAAAAAACATATATATTTACTTTTAATAACAACGACATGTTGATCAGAAAGAAGGAAATATATGCACCTTTTCTATTTTAGCCGATCTAAAAAACAATGTAATCTTATAATTATGATAAAAAATAATTTAATTTTAAAATTTATTTTTTTCTTACTATATTAATTTACATCAATACCAACTATACAAGGACTAATTTAAATCATAAATTTCAAAAAACACATTTTTTCCTTAAAACAATTCTTCAACATCT